AATTATGGGTGATTCTCTGATTTCTATTTGAAATGCTGAAATACTGGAATTAGCTTCCTGACCTTCAGGTTGGAGATAACAACTCGAAGCACTATCTCATGAGTGGACAGACTTGGACAAATCATTTAAACGCTGGTAGACTTCTTGTTTTCCATTGACCTGGGTTCAGGTCTCAGCTAGTGTGCCTCATGTACAGCAACCACCTGTCTGTCTGTGGAGGCCTGTGTGTTGCTATGATGCTCAGCAGGTTTCAGCAGAGCTTCCAGACTGAGACAGACTACGAAGAAAAGCTTGATGATCTACTTCTGAAAATCATCAGATGAAAACCTCATGAATCACAATGGTCTCATCTGTAGCCTGTCTTGGGAAGGTGCAGGACTGGGCAGTGTTCTACCATGAGTTGAGGATCAACTCCATAGCAGCTAACAACAGCAACTCACAATGTAGTTTTCAGACTGTGTATGTCCACTAACTGTTTATTACCAGAGTTCCCATTGAGATAGGTACAGGATGTGAGAATAAACATTTAGAAACTTTTATAGCAATTGGACATTGTCAAGACGTTCAAACATAATAATATAAAAGTATCTATCTGTGAAATTGTGTGGGGAAAATGATCCTTCACCATAGATAGTTTGAAAAGCCTAATTTAATAGCCCCTATTTGTGAGCTCTGGTGGAGTAGTAGTACCTAAGGCATTGACTGCTAACCAGAAGGCTGGTAGTACAAACCCACCAGCCACTCCTCAGAAGGAAGATGGGGCAATCTACTTCCATAAAGATTGGCCACCTCAGGAACCCAATGGGGGTCGCTATGAATTGGAATCGACTTGATGGCAGTGGGTTTAGTTGTTTTGGTTTATTGATATGATCAGATGGAACCTGAACTTAAGGTTACAAGTGTAAGTCTTAGAATCAAGTAGATGGGTCTATATGCAGTATCTGCCACTAGTTATCTCTGTGGCTTTGAGCAAGTTACTTAACCGTTCTGAGACCCAGTTTCCTCATTTTTAAATAAATGGAGCAGCACTTGCTCTATCAGTAAGTGCTGGGAAGACCAAGTAAGATAATCCAGGAAAAGTGCCAAGCAATTTAACTGCTGATATTATTTCTTCTAGGATTTTATTTTATTTTATTCCATCAGTGTTTCTGGCTTGCTGAAAGCATGTTTTGTGTACTTATGGACATATATTAAATCTACAATCTTGCCTTCATGTGAGTACAGGGTAAAAGAAATACTTTTAAAAGGTCCTACCTTAAATAATGTTTGGTTTTCACAGAAACCTTCATAGAGGCTATACCCTTAGCTAAAGGATGCTGCCATTGGAAACATTTCTGGCCCTCTTTACTTAATATTTCCATTAGAGCCTGTTATAATGATCTATTCTGCTGTTACAAATGACCTCAAAACTTAAGAGTCTTACAGAAGCTATTTATCATTAACCTCTCATGGTTCTGTGGATTGACTGGGCTCATCTGGGTTCTCACTTGGGGTCTTGCATGAAGTTGCAGTCAGATGTTGGCTGGGGCTGGAGTCATCTGAAAACTCCACTGGATTGGATATCCTAGATGGCATGTTCACTCTTCATATCTGGTGCCCAGGCTGGGATGGCTGGAACAGCTCAGGGCTGGCTGGGCATCTTGCTCTGCCCACATCCTTTCCACATGGCCAGCTTGGGCTTCCTCACTATGTGGTGAACTCAGGCTAAGGAGACAACTTAGTTGGTCGCTGACTTCCCCCAGAACGAGTGTTCTAACAGATAGGAAGGGGAAGTTGCTAGTCTCTGAAGACCTGGGCCTAATAACTGTCTCAGTGTTGCTGTTGTCATATTGTTATCAAAGCAGTTGCAGAGCCCTCCCTTGTTCAAGTGGAGGAGACATGGACTACCTCTTGATGGCAGGAGGGTCAAATAATTTGTGTCAGTCTTTAACTTACTCTGGTGGTATAGTGGTTAAGGCATTTAGCTACAAACCAAAAGTTTGGTGGTTCAAGCCCACCAGCTGCTCTATGGAAGAAACATAAGGCAGTCTGCTTCCATAAAGATTCACAGCCTTGGAAACCCTATGGGGGTTGGTATAGGTCAGAACTGACTCAATGAGTGTTTTTTCTTTTTCTTTAAATCTGCTAAGGAGCCTAGATCCTTGGCCAACCTTTCAGTTAGCAGCTGAAGGAACACTGGGCAATCTACTTCCATAAAGATTTACCACCTTGGAAACCCAAAGAGGGTCGCTGTGAGTCAGAATCAACTTGATGGCAGTGAGTTTGGTTTTGTGGTTTTTAAGGAGCCTTGGTAGCACAGTCGTTAAATGCTCAGCTGCTAACTGCAAGGTTGGGGTTCAAACCACGCAACCACTCTGCCAGAGAAAGATGTGGCAGTCTGTTTCCATAAAGATTTACAGCCTTGGAAACCACATGAACCAGTTCTATACTGTTCTATAGGGTTGCTATGAGTCAGAATCAACTTGATAGCAGTGGGTCAGGATTTGTGTTTTTAATCTGCTATAAAGCCACAAAAGAAATGTGGTTTTCTTACATTGGTGTGTCTTCTTTATTTTCATCAGAGTGTAAAGCTTCCCAAGGGGACTACATTGACTAAAGTGTTACTAAAAAATAAATAAATAAATAAAAGCAGCCAGCACATTATGGTCATACCTCACATACTTCATATGTGTTTTTATTTAAAAAAAAAATTTGTATATACATATGTGTGTGCATGTATATATAACCAACAGCAAACCCACTCCATCAAGTTGATTCTGACTCATAGCAATCTCATTGGGTTGCCAAGGTTACAAACCTTATAGAAGTAGATTGCCTCATCTTCCTTCACAGAGATTAGCAGCCAAATGCCTTACCTACTATGCCACTATATATATATATTTTTTTTCCCACACTCATCACACATACATACACAAAACATTTTCCATTTCAACTTTTATGTGTACAGTTTTGTTACATTAATTATGTTCATCATGTTGTACAACTAACATTTGTAATTTTTTTATCACCCTGAACAAAAACTTAGTGCCCCCTAAGCAATCATCCCCCTTCTTCTCTTCAGTCTTACCCCTGGTAACCACTCATAAACTTTGATCTCTGTGCATTTGTCTATTCTAGATATTTCATGTAAGTGAGACCATACAATGTTTATCTTTTTGTGTCCAATTTATTTCACTCAGCATAATGCTGTTAAGGTTCATCCATGCTATAGCATAACGCTGACTTCATTGCCTTTTATGGCTGAGTAATATCCCACTGTATAGATATAATGCCTTTGTGTTTCTACTGTGCTGTGGAAGGAGTGGGATGAGTCATGATTTCCACATGTGAGCTCACCCTCCTGTGAGCTCATCCTCCTGCTCAGACCTACTCTACTTTCTGTGTGTGTGAATTCTGTTAATGCCTCCTCATCCTCCTTTTTGCCTCCCTACACTCCTCCCTGCCCCTGCCTTACCTGCCACAAAGTAATCTCTCAAAAGCCCAGCAAGAATCATGATGTTTCTCCTTTGCTTAAATCACTTTACTCATTCGCATTTCTCATACAGTTATCTGGCCCAAACAGGCACTCAAGGCCCTCCACAGTTGGAAGGGAATACATTTCCAGTTAAGTTTTCCCATCTTCTGACACTACTACCCAAACGCATACCCATGCACGCCTCAGACATACAGTACTGTGTGTTCGCATGTGCACACACACAGACACACACACACACATGAGCACAGAGGCATGTGCTCTTGTCATTCATTCAACAAATATTTATTGTCAGCTTCGAGCTCCAGCAGCTCAATTATTATTCCACAAACATGCCTTCTGTTTTTCCCTTTCTGGAGCTTTGCTTACATTCCTTGAAGGTTAGGAGCCTTTCTTATTAATATTTTATGTTTCCCTTAATACCAAACACTGTACTGCCCACATAGTAATATACATTGGTTGACATACTGTACAGAGAAGAGGTCTGTTCTTTCTTTCACTGTATCTTTTACTTTTCATCTCTCTCCTTTGTCACCCTTTCTCTGTTGGAGCCCCATCTAGAATCTTCAAGTACTCTCCTCATCTCTCCCTTATTTAAAATTTTAACATATTTCCCTCATATTCCATGTGATTCATGGTCAGGGTGAAGTCAGGGGCATTCTGTAGGGGCATTTTTGAAGTTAGCAGGCACCCTGGCATAACTTTTCCCCAACAGCCATAGCTACTGAAGTCTTGCTTCATTCAGCACTATGTGCAAGCTTCTGGTATGTTCCAGGCAGCCTGCTGGGCCTGGGGACACCACGAAGAATCAGATATAGTTGCTGCCCATTTGAGCTCAAACATTGCTGATGTAAAATATATGAACATTGGGCCTTTGGGGGTCTGATAAGCAGGTAGGAGATAACAAACGCTGCTTACCTGTCCTGCTTTGCTTTACCAATTGGTATTCGATAAACCCAGATGCTGTGAAAAGTTGTTGGGATGGGCACAGAATACATGGGTCTCAAGGTGGGGAGGGAAATACGTAACTGAATCACATGGGCAAGTTTTTAATCAAATAATATACCCACCACAATAGATGAGATGATGCGTCCCCTTTTGTCTTGCAGAGGTGGGGGATGGGGCAGGATATGACGCCAGAAGGAAGCCAGAGCTCCCCAGATGATTCTGGTTTCTGATTCCCTTCTTGTTGTTATGTGCCCTCAAGTTGGACCCGACTCATAGTGACCCCTCCTTGGGTTTCCGAGATAGTATCTCTACAGAAGTAGATTGCCCAACCTTTCTTGGGAGGAGTAGCTGGTGGGTTTGAACCGCCAGCCTTCTGGTTAGCAGTCAAGTGCCTTAGGCACTACGCTACCAGAGCTCCGTCTAGTCCCCCTTAAAGAAACCTTGCTTCAACTGTATCATCCCCAAACAATGTCTCTGAGTAGTTGTTCCATGCTTGCTAATTGTACCACCTGGTTATTTTTCAGGTTCACTTCACTTCTCCTTGCTTTAAGACGCAAAAGTGCTGCTTTCCGGACCTGCCATGAAACCAAACTTGAAACAATGGAAACAACTCATGCTCTTTGGAATATTTGCGTGGGGGCTCCTCTTTTTGGTGATTTTTATCTACTTCACTGACAGCCACCCTGCTGAACCTGTACCCAGTTCCTTTTCTTTCCTAGAGACCAAAAGACTGCTGCCCATCCAGGGGAAGCAGAGGGCCATCATGGGAGCCATGCATGAACCCTCCTTTGCTGAAAACATGGCCGGTTACAAGATGCTGCCTGACAGAGACCTGTCAGACTCTGTGGACTTGGGGCCTGGAGACCTGCAGAGATGGGCCCACATGAAAGATGGATTTGAAAATGAAGATGAGTTTTTTTCATCCCAGATCGGGAGAAAATCCCAAAGTGCTTTCTATCAGGGGGATGATGACTACTTTTTTGCTGCTGGTCAGCAAGGGCCCCACAGCCACATTCAGGACATGTTGCCATTCCTTTCCCACAGGGAGCAAGCCCAGAGGGAGGGTGTTTTGTCGGTGCATCACATGAGGAGAAGGCGGATGAAGAAAAGGCACACAAAACAGAAAAGAAGCCACGTGTTTGAGGAGGGTGACGACTGGGACAAACTATATTCCACCATGTCCAGGGCCTTTCTGTACCGGCTTTGGAAGGGAAATGTCTCTTCCAAAATGTTGAACCCACGCCTCCAAAAAGCGATGAAAGATTACCTCAACACCAACAAGCATGGGGTGCACTTCCGGGGCAAACGGGAGGCGAGGCTGAGCCGAGAAGAGCTGCTGTGTGAGCTCCGGAGCAGGGTGCACGTGCGGACTCTGGACGGGAAGGAGGCACCCTTCTCTATGCTGGGGTGGGAAAAGCATGTCCCAGCTGTGCCCTTGAGCCAGCTGTACCCCCACGGCCTACAGAGCTGTGCCGTCGTCATGTCAGCGGGTGCAATCCTGAACTCTTCCTTGGGCAAAGAAATAGGTGAGTTCTGGTCATTTGAACTCTGGGCAGTCTGTATGAGGGTAGGTAGTAATGAGAAGTTGGTTCTATGATTGGAGTCCTGGGTGGTGCAAAAGATTAATGAGCACTACTGCTAAGTGAAAAGCTGGAGGCTTGAGTCTACCCAAAGGCTCTTAGGAAGGAAGGCCTAGTGACCTTACTTCCAATAAAAAGAAAAAAGAAAGAAAGAAAGAAACAGCCATTGAAAACACTGTGGAACACTGTCCTACTCTAACACTAGTGAAGTTGCCATGAATTGGAGATGACTCAGCAGCAACTGGTAACTGTTAGTATGTGCCAGGTTCTGTACTAGATACCGAGAAACTACGTGTGACTCAGACATAGCTGCAGCCTCAACCTCACGTCTAGTTGTAAAAACAACCACAAGTAATACATACTTGTGATAATAGTATCAGGTCATAAGGAATCTGGAACTGAAATTCAGTGGGCATTGTTAACTTGTTACAGAGGAAAGACCCTCATTTCTTGGCTTCTTTCTAAATGGATCCATTAGTGCTGTGTCCTTGAAGAGTGGCTGATGGACCAGATCTGTCTTGGGACGGGGTGGTACCATTATAGGCTGGCTCCACAACCCAGATTTCTGATCTTCAGACACTTTTGGGGAATGAAACTGAATGTAAGTTTTTTTTTTAAGTTAAAAAAAAAAAAAATGACGCAAGTCTGGGCTTGAGGTCTGGGGCTCCAGTGTCCCTGTGATGATATTATAGCAGGCTCATAATAACAGTCCATGTGTCAGATAAGCTTGTCCCAAAGCCAGGGCAGAGCAGCCCTCAATTTATTAGGAAATAGCAGTGGTTTAAAGGTCCCTGGGGTGAAATAACACCATGGTTCTTTCTCATTGCCGAGGACCAATATTAATAATGTAGAGAAGGAATTTAAGTATTATGCTTTGAAGCAGGCAGTGACTCGCTTCTGGTTTTGTTTTGTTTTCAATACCTGTGTATCATAGTTGCATATTTGGGTTACTCTTGAATCTCAGGGAGAATTCCCTTGCTCTTTATTCCAGCATTAATCACTTGGCTGTTAACCAAAAGGTCAGCGGTTCAAACTCACCAGCTGCTCCACCGGAGAAAGATGAGGCAATCTACATCCATAAAGATTTATAGCCTTGAAAACACCATGGGGCAGTTGTCCCCTGCCCTGTAGGGTCACTGTGAGTCATAATTGACTCAATGGCAACAGGTTGGTTTTGGTTGGTAATTCCTGCATAAATAAGGGTTTTATTAACTCCATTGGAGGCTAGAATGGCCAGACTTCATCTCATATACTTGGTCATGTTGTCAGAAGGGACCATTCCCTGGATAAGGATGTCATGCTTGGTAAGGTGGAGGGTCGATGAAAGAGGGGAAGGCCCTCAACAAGGTGGATTGACACAGTGGTGGTGGCGATGGGCTCAAGTGTAGCAAAAATAGTGGAGCTGGCTCAGGACCGGGTGGTGTTTTTCCTGCTGTGCATAGAGTCGCTACGAGTTGGAGATGACTCGGTGGCCCTTAACAACAACAACAAACTCCGTTCAGAATTTTGAAGAGGGTGTGAAGATAGTGGGGATTACGTGTTTCTTGAACATGAAATGTCAGAGTTGTATCTTCATTAGTTTCTAATATCGATACTTAATTTATATTTTATGCATTTATTTCAGGCTTCATGATCAGAATTGTAGAACTGTAACGGAAGAATGTGACCAGATATATGTATAATTAATATGTATTCATTAATATATGTATAATATGTGTTAATTCCCTTTATTGTTTTGTCTGGATGCCTTTGAGTCAGATTTTATACCTTCCGTTTAAGAATTATCTAACTGTAATTCAATTTTTAAAAACAATACATCTTTCATTTTTACAAGTTGGCATCTCTGAGCATCAGCATTGTGCATGCTAGGTGCTGAACTCTCTCCTACTCTCCTGCCCATATGCAGTGCTCACAGATGTAGTTATTGCCAACTCTTTTCATGAAAACAGATTTATGTAGCACATTTCTTCAGGGAACCTGGAATGCTGGGGCATACTGTAGTATTTAGCTAAATTCATCTTGACCCTGAAATATGTATGTGTGAAATTGGCCAAGTGAAGACCAAAAAGACTCACCAAAGATCTTGGTCTTTATGAAAAAGTGAGGGCAGAGCTTAACATTCCTGAGTACTCAGCAACTGTCCCTACTGTGGTAAGGGAGACCACAGTTACTCAAGTATGCCTATTGGCTGCTCTCTACCTCCCTCTTGTGTTTTTTCCATTGGCAATGCAATCTCTTTACCTCTGCTCTGTTAGACTGAGTCATACCCTGTAATTGTTTTTGAGAAAAGTATAGCAGTTGTAAACACCTCCACTTTGAATATGTTATTGAAAAGCAATTTGAATTATTTTGGAAACATGGAAAATTCTTTTTTTAGAGTCATGAGATGATATTTTTCACCCATACATAGGAATAATTATAATAGCAAAAACATCTACTAGCGGTCTTGTGCAAACACACTACAGAGGAGGAAAATGTCTACTCTCAAGTAACAGAAATAGCCTTGATATGGAAAGTAAGAATCTGTGTGTTTCATTTAAATAAAATTAAACTTATATTCTGGGAAGTGTATGGGAAATGGGAGTTAGGAAACAAGGTGTGTGTATGGGGGAAGCATATAGAATTTGCTGTAGAGAGCTTGGGATTGTTTTTTAAAAATAATATTTTATTATGTTTTCAGTGAAAGTTTACACAGAGAATTAGGTTCATTTGACAATTGCTACACAAATTGTTCAGTGACGTTGTTGTTGTTGTTATGTGCTGTTGAGTCGGACCCAACTCATAGTGACCCCTCCTTGGGTTTCCAAGGCAGTATCACTACGGAAGTAGATTGTCCCATCTTCCTTCTGAGGAGTGGCTGGTGGGTTTGAACCGCCAGCCTTCTGGCTAGCAGTCAAGTGCCTTAGGCACTATGCTACCAGAGCTCAACATTGTAACAGTAGTTACATTTTTTACAATGTGTCTACATTCTCTTTAACTGAATTCTGGTTCTGTTTCCAGTATTCTAGTTTCCCTGTCCCCTTAGTGTCTCATCTTTGCTTTAGAGTAATTCTTGACCTTTTGGTCTCATAGATGGATTTTTAGTGGAGCACTGTACTCATGGATTATATCCTTTAATTTGTGTGCCCATCTCTTATTTCACTACAAGGTGACATCAGGATAATTTCAGTTCAAGATTTAACGAGTATCTAAGGGCAGTACTCTTAGGGAGCCCTTTAGTCTCAACTGGTCCAGTAAGTCCGAACTTTTTAAGATTTGGAGTTCTGTTCTGTGTTTTTCTCCCATTCTGTCAGGGTCTATCTATTGTGGCACTGATCAGAATGTTTAGTAGTGGTAGCAGGGTACCATCTTATTCTTCCGGTCTCAGGGTAGTTTCAGCTGTAATTCATGGAGGCATTTAGCCCTATAGACTAATTTCTTCTCTGAGACTTTGACTTCCTTCTGAGAACTTGGGATTTGAAATGTCCTATTAATCCAAAAAATAAAAATAAGCAAAAAGTAAATCATATAGTCATTCAACAAGCATTCTTTATCTTTATTGGTTTATCACCAACTCTTCCAGATACTGTGCTAGCCACTGGTGACACAAAGATGAATAAGGTACCAGCTCAATCCTCAAATTCTCTACAGTACAGTGGGGAAGACAAACTATGAATGTACAATTCCAGTGTCATATCATTAAGTCAGTGATAGAGAAACATATACACTGACATGGTAGAAACGACAAAGGAATCTTAACCCACCTTGAGACTTGAAGGCTGAGCAGAGAGAGGAAGATTAGTAAAGACTTGTTGGGAGAGACTGGGGAAGAGAGTGGAGTCTAGGCTGAAGACCCTACATTAAGAAGTGGTGAGAAACATTATGGTTTACAGATGTAATTGCTGCAGAGTGCAAGGGAGCCAAGCAGGGAGAAGAGAGACAGAAGCTGAAGAGGCAGGCAGGTCAGCTTGCATCATCCTGCATGCAACTCTATAGAAATTAAACTTTAATTTAAAGATTGTAATAATAAACAGTTGCTGTGGAGTCATTTCTGACTCATGGCAACTCCTTGTGTGTCAGAGTAGAGCTGTGCTCCATAGGGTTTTCAGTGGCTGATTTTTCTGAAGTAGATTGCCAGGCCTTTCTTCCCGGGCATCTCTGGGGCTGAAGCACCTCCAGGTTTTTTGGTTAGCAGCCAAGCTCATTAACGATTTTCTAGGCACCTTTTATGATGTATTTTCGGCAGACAAGGTACTATTCCAGATTAACTGTTGTAACCCTTGCAGCTCTAAGTGATAAATATGATTAAACTCAACTGACTGCTGTCGAGTCAGTTCCAACTCATAGTGACCCCTCCTTGGGTTTTCGAGCAGGTATCTCTACAGAAGTAGATTGCCTGGTCTTCCTCCTGAGAAGTAGCTGGTGAGTTTGAACCTCCAGCCTTCTGGTTAGCAATCAGATACCTTATGCACTATGCCACCAGAGCTCACATAAATATGATTATTCCCATTATAATGGCAAAGAATAAGAAGCACCTAAAGTCATAGTGGGCCAATCCTGCATTCAAACCCAGTCCTGGATCTCAGCAACTCTGGCTCTAACCACTGTGTGTGGGATGCCAAGACACTGAAATCTTTTAAGTAGGGGAGTGACTGATCTGCTTTTCATTTTAGAAAACTCACTCACTCCAGAGTCTGGACTTGAGGCTGTCAGAGGAGTAAGTCAGGAGGTTGTTGCAGGAGTCTCTGAGAGGTGAGATAGACCCAAGCCAGACACCAGGACCAGGACCAGGAGAGAAAGGAATCATAGCTTTGTCTTAATCACAGGCAGGTCTTTCCCTAATGACATAAAGCTTTCACTGCTGTGCACAGAACACTTTTGTTCTCTGCATCTGTGCAGAAAAAGGAGGAGGAGGATGGGAGCTGGAGCTCACTGCCAAGGGCAGAGCAATGGCTTAGTGCTACAGG